GGAAGCAAATCTTAAATGAGAAGTAACGACACATCGGGATAAAAGATGAGTTTTAATGATTTATCACCTCGACGACGTCTCGCTGCCAAAGAGTCCCGGTTGTCATGACAATGGGACCTGCTCGTTTCCTCCTGGCGGTGATGCCACATCCTCTGCGTCGACCACGCTACATTAATCAGCACCTGTGACGGGGAGCTTTCATGCGTTGTCATGGTAACCTCTTTCTAAATAAAGGATCGTCATGGTGGGAAGTTTACTATAAAAATAACCTCCGTTTGTGTTTCTAGATGTTTGATGTGGCTGCAGGAGAGAGAGGGGGGAGGAGCTACCCTCCATGACTTCAGTCCTCGTCCTGGAAAACAGATTTCATCATTTTGACATCAGAACATGAAAAACAACCTACGGTCGTGTTCCCAGGACTTCAGCCTCCGCTTTGCTTTGGCTGCTTTTTTAGAGCGACATGTTTTTGGCCTCACATAATACTTTAAAAAGAAGAAAGTCAGTTAGCTGTTAAGCTAACCAAACATTTCTAGCTAAAATTGTCACATGAATAACGGCCAAACATCGGAAGCCTTATGGGTAATGTAGTCCATTAGCATTAGCTTGCTAGCTTGAATGTAATTCTTTGAAACATTCATCAAATTTCTCGATTGTGAGGTTTCAAATGTTTTCTTCTGTCGACCTGAACGTCGTAACGTATTCGTGAACACACCGAGCTGCTGAAAGAACGATTCATAAACCATCAACAATAAAACTGTTTTATTAATAATAATCATTTTCCACCACAATAAACTTTAACAAAGGCTCACTAGAAAAGTGTCGACTTCTGTGTTCTGTACAGGAGATACAGTACGTTGTAAAACTGGCCGTGATGTGGCACAGCGGCGCATTCAACCCAAAAAATGATTATTCAAACATTTTCCACATTATTTACAGATAAAATCCACAAAAAAACCAGCTGGCAAACGTCACAGAAATACAGCGCTGCTTCAAGCTAGCCGCTTCAAGCTAACCGCGGCTAACCTCTGGCTGCAGAGACCTCCTGATAGAAGCCGAATGGCTTATGAGCTAGTAGGCTAACTGGCTAGCGTGGTAACGAGCTAGCAGGCTAGTTAAGCTACAGCTGCTTTCACACATGAGCAGAACAAAAAACTTTTTTTTTTTTTTTTTTTGCTACCAAGAGGTCGTTTAAAGACTTCATGTTTCTGTCAGGACAACAGCTGAGAAAAACAAAAACAAAAACACCATCACGTTCTCCTTCCCTCCGTTTTGTCTGAAAGGCAGCTGCTGCTTCTCTCTTGTCACTTCCTGTCTCACCTTCTTCTACCTGTCTGTCTTTCTATTCGAGCAGCTAGCGCTCAGCTAGCTTTGTAAAGGAATGCACTTTGGTAGATTCAACCAAATGCCCTGGGCGTTAGTCACAATGACAACAATAAGAATAATAACTGAGCAGTCTGAGGTACCAACATGGATAAAGAATGCTTCAAAACCACATTTGTGCTAAGCTAACAGCTAATGTGAGCCCCTATGTGAGGCCACAACACAGCTGTAGATAGAAGGTAAAAACTTGCTAGGTGCTACTAGCAGTCAATTAGCAGTAGGCTAGTGTTAGCTTCACTGTAGAGTAAAACATCAGTGCAGCAGCTAGCGGCTGGACGCTAGCGGTCAATCGGCTAGTGTTAGCTTAGCCATGTCGTCAACAGGCGTCGCCGGTTTGTCCCGAGGCGACAAGTGGCTGATATGTGTCTGAACATTGTGCAGCCATGTTTTAAACCCACCTCAGCCCAACGCACGCACGCACGCACGCACGCACGCACGTGTTGATCAGTGTAAAGCTACAAACCGCGGCACGACCATTTCTGTAGACGAAATATGAACAGAAAGTGATAAATAATTCGGAGTGACACTCAGAGGACAGTTTGATTCAACAGCTGTTCATTAATCAAAGGACAGCGTTGGAGAGGAATGACCTTTGAACTCTTGACAGTGTTTAGACTGCACGTTACGTTAGCAACATGTCGCTCTGAGTTTGTTTTGGTGATTAAAACAAGAAACTTGTTTTTATTTTTCCTCTGGCAGGAATGGGCTGCCATGTCTGCTTTTAATGCTGTGTTCAGAAAAACTGGGATAATTAAGTATCCAGCCTTCTGTAATGAAAAAGACCAGTGGTGTTCATGGCTCTATTATGGGATGTTTTCAAACAGACAGGTTAAACTTTGGCCGCTTGTCGGTCTTAATGCTTCTACGTTTTCATTCAGGTTGAAGTGAAGCGAGAGGGCGTCGCTGTGAGCGTCACGGCCTGACAGTCTGAGTTCAGGGCAAAACTAACCTGGAGGAGTTTCATGTCTCAATCCAGGAGCCAATCAGCACTCTGGCTGCAGTATCTAACTTTATGACATCATCATTGCGAGTGTTGTTCTTTTATTTCATTGACACCACTGGGTGTGTGTGTGTGTGTGTGTGTGTGTGTGTGTGTGTGTGTGTGTGTGTGTGTGTGTGTGTGTGTGTGTGTGTGTGTGTGTGTGTGTGTGTGTGTGTGTGTGTGTGTGTGTGTGTGTGTGTGTGTGTGTGTGTGTGTGTGTGTGTGTGTGTTGGGCGTGGCATGGCGATGAGATACTGAAGGCACAAAGTTACGACTCTCAGCACTCGTCTTACTAAAAAAATTACAAAATTAAAAAATCAACAATCAAACTTTAGAAAACAAACAACAACAACACAAAAACATCAGAGAGGACCGCCCCCCTCCTCACTTCCTCCAACTTATAGTTCAGTTACTTCCTGATTCCTGCCTAGGTCCAGGAGGGGGGCGGAGCATCCCCTGAGATGGGCGGAGCAGGTAGTGTCTGTGTGTTATACATTATCAGTTCCATCTGTGCATCACCATCACGGTCGTCCACTTCTTCATGTGCTACATTACATCACGGTCGCCACGGCGATAGCGATCCAACTTCCTCCTCTTCATCCTCCTCCTCTTCTAAATCCTCAACCCAGTGAGACACACTTCCTGTGGGCGGAGCCAGACTGCAGCATGCGTTCAGATTGTGTGTTTTTGTGAAGGAACAAGCTTTAACACACACAGACACACACGCACACACGCACACACGCACCATAAAGTCTGTTTGTGATCAGATCAATAAATATTCATTAAATTCTAAAGTAAATAAATTAGAATTATCTTTAGACCCCGCCCATCCCCGCCCCCCGCCCCCCGCCGCGCCCCCCCCCCCTCGCCCAACGTTAACAGTCAGTTCATCAGAGACTTTCTGCCGGTCCAAACGTTATTATAACGACATTTGAAACTTTTTCATCTTTTTAATTCAGTTTTGTTTTTGAATATTTGATTTTCCACATACGGGTTAAAAAACTACGACGGCGAGCATCGGGCGCCAGAATGTTTGTAATGCTGAGACTTCAGCTGTCGTATCACAAGATTTAAGTATATATTTGTAAAGTCCAGATTGTAACATTCTGACTTTATTGTTGGAATCTCAGTTTTCTCTCTAACCATGTCGTCTCCCGTCTCCGGAGCCATGATGTCATAACCATCAGACTGACCACGAGCTCGTCTGATATCGACCTTTAAGAACAACACGGTTAATTCAGGATATTGAGGAAAAGAACTACACTACCCATAATCCCCAGAGCGCCACAGCCCGTTTCTCTTCTTCTCCTTCAACAAACTCTGGATCTGTGCTTCAGCCACGAGCTAACAGGCTAATAAAGGCTAAGGCTAGCTAGGTGACCTGACCGGTTTAAAGTTAGCTAACTACTAGCTAACGTTCAGTTTTAAAATGACCATGAAGAAGATTAGTGGGTCCCAATGCCGCCCCCCCCCCCCAACCCACCCCATGTTCCCCAAACTGAGAGATGAACGACGATAGAGAACAAACCATATGATGTATTTTTGTAGACCCTGAAGTAGCATCTCCATGGGGTCTAACCAGAATCCTCCTCTGGGATGTTTTCATTGGATTTTGGATCATTGCAGAAAATAATCTCTGTGTTAAACACACGTTTCTGAAGCGTAGGCGTTTTGTTCAGCAGGATCATCTTCACAGATGAACGCCATTTTTATGATGTTTGAAGAGTTAATGTGGCCGACAGAAGTAAAAAGCTAACGTTATGCTAAAGCTAACTACACCACGGTGGGATGATTGTGACGTCACTAGCGTTATGCTTCAGACGATCTCCGATAAACTAATCCACGTAGCTTAATAAATAGTTTACTAACATAATATTCACCTTAACCTAAAGATTAAACCTACAGGAGACATCTCCGACTAGTGAGAGAGTTCCCGCCCTCTGTGTCCGGCGTGATGACCTTTAATGACCCCGACAACCACTGTAGTCACATTTAGCCGCTTGTTAGCAACCGCCTTTTTAAAGACGAGTAAAAACTTCAAACTTCACAAGTGGAGGTATTACCTAACGTAGTTCATGTGCTCTAACAAAACACCAACATCTCTTCAGCTTGTGTTAACCACAGACCTTATTTCAGGAGTCTAACCACAAACACATTCAAAATCCACGTTGACTTTTAGACGTTAGACCCCATGGAGCTAACATGCTAACTTACTTCCTGGTTTTAGGACTCATTCCTGTGGCGCTCTGTAAAGCTAGCTGAAGCGTGTTTGTAGCGTTGACTTCAGAATCAAACGGAAATCTCCGACCACGGTTATAAAATTTTTTCGATACGATCTGTTAACTTAACGATCGACGGTATCCAAAGTTTAAAAACACGACATCTGAACCCAGCAGAGATTAAAATGAAACGCCTGCACGCCATCTACGAGAGCACACATTGGCGATGTCTGCAGGTGATTAAAAACAAGAAATTACCAAATATGGGCGTCTAATTTCCTGTTAGCCGCGGCGTGGTGTTCAAACCAACTGAAGTCATAAAATGTGTTTTTGGTGTTAAATGGATTATTTAGCTGAAAGCTTAAAGTCTTGTTCCCTCGTCAGCACCGTGTTAGTGGCGTGTTCGTGGCGTGTTCGTGGCGTGTTAGTGGCGTGTTCGTGGCGTGTGTTTGGAGCTACAGAGTGTCGTGTTCTGATTGTCTGAGCAGCTTCACATAAACACACTTTTTCTTTTTAAAGAGGGAGGAGTCTAAACGACCCCCGGGTTTCCTTCAGCTCGCCACTCTGCCCGTCTCCAAAACTTCGCTTCCTCGTGCTGAACGCACGCCACCAACGTGAAAAAAACAAACTCTCTCTAAAACTGGACAGAACCAGTTTAATTCAGTTCCAGCTGACTGCTCGTGATCAAAGCTTTGGTTTTCCCACCACAGCGAGCGGGACACGCTCGCTCTCAGCTGACCAGTTTGGGCAGAACCGTCCGCGGCTGGATGTTCCCGTTGGCGTCGGTGATCGCCGCCAAGTTAGTCCTGGTTTTGGAGGAGGAGGACGTGGTGGTGGAGGAGGTGGTGGCGAGCTTGGAGATGGAGGTGATGGTGCCCTCGGTGGTGACCCGTTTGGAGGAGGAGGAGGTCGTCTTGTCCCCCGTGGTCGTTCCTGTTGGCGGTTTGGGAAGTCGTCTCCTCAGCCACGAGTGACGCAGCGCCTGGCTGGGCGTCATCCTGAGTACCGGGTCCCACTCCAGACACTGTTTGAGGAAGTCCAGGAAGAGCGGGTCGTCGCAGCCCTTCAGCGCTGCGCTCCAGTCCTTGCTACCCGGCGGGCCGCGTACCTTCCCTCGCCGTGAGCGGCCGCCGTTCAACGCGGTGGTTCCGTCGGGCAGCGTGGTCACGGTGCAGTACCGCGGGAAACCTTTAGACGACACAAAGTTCTTGGCTCTCTTGGAGGCGTCTAGGAGCTTCTGACTGGGCATGCCCAGAAGCTCGATGACGCAGGCCAGCTGATCGGCCTCGTCTTCCCCCGGTAACAGCGGGTAACCCGTCAGCAGCTCGGCCAGGATGCAGCCCAGAGACCACATGTCGATCGGCATCCCGTACCTGGAGCCTGAAGGAGGCGAGTCAGAGGTCAGAGTCTGGATTCAAAAAGACAACTTCTAACTTCTTCTTCAATAAAGCTTTTAGACTCAGACTAACCCTGAAGACAGAACCGGACCCAAACTGCAGATCGATCATCCACCATCAGAAAACATTCAAACTTATCGTCAATAAAAAGTCTTTAACTGCCAAATGACAGAAATCTGACCAGAATATATCTTACATTTGAATTAACCCATCTGTCACATAACTGCATTTTACTTATTATCATGTTACTTCAGCATCTTCTGCACTATTCACCATTGTTTCATGTTTAGTCATGTAAATATTAGTCCTTTCTTATTCTGTTTATTGTTGATATTTAATGTTGTACCTGAACATAAGAGAGCACAGTTCACTGAAGTTAAATTCCTTGAAAATAAATCTGATTCTGATTCTGATATGAAGTTTGGATCTGAATCATGGATCTGAAACTAGCGTCAGCAACCAATCCAAAGTAAATGCAGCGGTCGCCTCGACTTACCCAGAATGACCTCTGGCGCTCTGTAGAACCTGGACTGGATGTAGGTGTAAACTCTTTGATGTTCGTAACAGCTGGAACCAAAATCTATGACCTGAAGAGAGAGGGAGAGAATGTTTAAGAGACGGATCAGGAAGCTTTCAGAGACCCAGACCTGGACTCTTCTGCCCTACCTTGATGCCGCTGCGTCCCTGCTGCTTCAGTAAAATGTTCTCGGGTTTGAGGTCGCAGTGGATGATGCGGTTCTTGTGCAGCGAGTCCAGACACTGCAGGATGGAGTGGGCGAACTTCCTGACCAGCGGGAGGCTGAAGCCCTGGAACTTGTTCTTCTTGATGAGCTCGTACAGGTTCATGCTGAGCAGCTCGAAGGTCATGCAGATGTGGTTCCTGAAGGTGAAGTTCTCCAGCATGTGGATCACGTTCATGCTCGAGTCCTTGTCCTGCTTCCTCAGGTGCTCCAGGATGCGGATCTCCTCCGCCGCCTGCCGGTGGAAGCGCTTCTCGTTGCGGACCATCTTCAGAGCCACGTGTGTCTGAGACTTGTGGTCAAAGGCCTTCACTACCTGCAGGGGGGGGGGGATAACATTACATTTATCTGATGGACCGTTTCTTAAAGCTGCACCTTTCTTTACTTTAAAGGCTTTATATGTGATGTTTTGATCCAGCAGATGTGTTAGCATGCTAATGCTAGTGATCTTTATTATGCTGGTATCTTCACACTGCATGTAAATTTACCTGAAATGAGCGTGATCTAGAAACACAGTTAAGCAGTGAGTACAGTATGTTATTCTTCTTTTCTCTAGTCCCTCAATTAAACAACTTTTATACACGAGGGGAGGAGTCAGCCGGCCGTCCTGGCGATGTAAACAAAGTGAAGATAGGACTCTGAAAACTCTGAAAACATCACAGACAGTGGGACTCGGGTGTTACACCCATTGTAGACAGTCATGACTCACAAAGTTATTTTCAGAGGAGATACTTGATTTCTACATTTAAGTGTTTAAAGACTTTAAAGACTCTTCTTCTGGCTGATCGCTCTGGGGTGCGTACCTGTCCAAAACTGCCCTTTCCAATGACCTTCAGGACTTCGTAGCGGTATGAGACGTGGTCGTGTGGAACGTGGATGTAGGATCCCTGATCGTCGTCATAGCCACCGTTGTTGGCTCCGCCCATCACCCCTGACCTCTTCTTGGCATTGGGACCAACAAAAAACACTGAGGAGAAGAAGGACGCCATCATCTCTTTACATATTCTTTGTTATTATTATTATTTATTTCATTACATCTCTTACCTCCAGCATGTATTTTTACATTTAGTAAAGTCTGAAGAAATGTTGTATTTATTTTTTTTTAAAATTAAGAATGTTAAGTTAAATCCTTGATGTATAAATCTCTTTAGTTTTATTTATGTATCTACTCTTATTGTATTGTATCTACTTATATTGTTTTATTTGCTGTAACAGCACAATTTCCCAGTTTGGG